GATACGTTTTAACCGAAAGGAAGTTGGGTGGTATTTTCTGCTCAAAGCAGCTCACTGGGGTTTCTGGACAGACCAATGCTCGCTGAGGGGAGGTAACTGCACCACCTCGAAATTTCCTCCGAGAGTCAGGGACGTGCAGCTATCAATGAAGTAGAAATTCTGACTGAATACTGAAGTAAAGATGAAAACAATTTAAATTAGTTCTTACAAGCTTGCAAGATGCAGATGGGGGTTTAAGATTTCAAAATGTGAGCTTCATCAAAGCCAGTCAATGACAGTTTTCTGCAAGATCCTGCACTTACGTTCTCTCTGCAGCTTGTTCCTGAAGGCTCAATTTGGGGGGTGAGTCCTTTCTTTCTGTGGTGACCAACACGATTTTAATGCACTTATGATTCTGCATAGCTACAATTATTCTCTAACACTCCCAAAGCCAGCCGAGCTAGATGCCCTCCACACTCAGGGCCCAGGGCAGCGAGCTCTGGCTACCATCACTGTTGGGGTTCACGGCCAAGTCTGCTCGGGAGCCCCAGGCTTGCTGCTCTGCCATGGCCGGTGTATGTGTCACACACACACACACCCCACACAGATGCGCAGCCTGTCCCCTCGGCCCCTGAGGCCCACCAGTTGAGGCCACGTGTACCTGTGTCGTCAGCACGCCGGCCGGGGTACCACTGCGGTGGCTTGTTTGTCCCACACTGAAGCCAGCGGGCATCAGGACGTTTGCTCCTCTCTGCTTCCCTTTGCAGGGCAAATGAAGAAAACCTGAATTCGTCTTCAGTGACACAGCATGTCCGGCCCCGAGTCTCATTTCTTTGAAGACCACCGACTTGGTGTTTCTAACCTGAGCATGTGAGTCAGGCCACTGGAGAAAAAGGTTTTGGGGTTCAAAGCTTAGCCTCAGGCCAATCCTTGCCAACAGCCAAATCATGATTTTAATAGGAAGCTAGCTCTCCTACGCCCCTGCTGCAGGACCGCTGACAACAGGTGGAAGCAAGATTACAGCAGGAAAGAGGAGAGGCGGTCTTCAGCTGGCAAGGAGTTAAAGGGGAATGGGTGTGGGGACTAACTTACAGGACGTGCCAAGGGACGCGCTGAGACTAGGAAACGTCACGTGGGGCGTCCCAGGAAAAGCTGTTTACAAACATCTGTGGATAAAGCTGATTCCCCCACGTTGCCTGTAGCTTGTTCATGGAAAATCTACGAGGTTAACGCCGCTCTGAAGCGCGGAGGTGCTGGCGAGCCTCACATCTGGATGTCTCCGTGCGTCTTCACCCCCATTGCAGGCACCGTTTCCAGACCAGCTTCTTTGGAAACTGGCGCTCCCTTCTCTGCATGGAGGCGGTCAAGCTCCAGTCTTTTTGGGGTGGGATGACAGGCTGCCTGACTTCCTGCCCTGCGTGCTGCCTCCGGATCGATGTCACATGACCGACGTGCTCCCCTGCAGGACAGAGCGGTGCCTGCGATGGACCCCAGCTCGTGAATAACAGCCCAGGTAGGACACGTCTGGGTCACAGACCTGTTCTTGGTGACTCCGAGCCCAGACTGTTAGGGTGCTTCAAGTGAGCAGCTCAACTGCACCAAATGCGGTTACTGAAAGTCACCAACAAAGCAAAACGAACACTGACAAAGGACGAAAAGCCCGAAATAAGACAAACTGGAAAGGAAACGGCCGCGTTTCTTGCACTCTGCACACAGGTCTACCCCAGAGAACTGCTAGCAGACCAGATGATTTTTGAGGAAAAACATGACAACTCTAGGCTTGTTTGTGAAGGAAAATGGATTTATAATTCAAAATCTAATTTATCTTTAAATAATTTGAATGAGTGGGGAAGTTTCTAAGTAGTTTTCCATTATTTATCCCTAAAACTTTCGCCATCCAGAGTGTGGAAATATTTTTTCTAAGCCTGCTTGTTTTTCTTTAGCGGTGGTGTTTGCCGGAGGGTACGGCATACTTCTTCTGGGTAATTTTAAGGCATAACAAGCTCTGTTTTTAAATTGTGCTTGATACAGCAAATAGAAAAAAATAAAACAAATGTTTTTATCATAACGTAATCCAAGATCCGACAGTTATAAAAGAACTGTGGCGACTTTTTTCCTTTAGGTATTTATGTCCCTCCTTGTAAAGCGTCATTAAAATGCAGGTGTCCTTTAAGTTAAGCTAGAAAGAAATTAAGCCCAGGGAACCAGTGGGTGCCTCGCGCGCCAGGATGGGCTGAAGGAAATAGTTACGCTTCTCTGTAAAAATTCTAGCTCCTAAGATCATTCTACAATGTTAAAAGACGTGCATCGTGCCAAGTGAGAAGGTACGGAGACGCAATGAGGTTCCCCTGCTCACAATCATCCCATGTGTCTGCACACGCGTGAGTCACACGGGGGAGGAGGCACGTGCCAAGGCCCTCCACCCTTCGCCTCCTGGGCCTGGCTGATGGCTCTGTTTTTCATCAGTGATGTAAAGCACCGGTGACACAGCAGAGCATGAATGCACCCTTCCACCAGTGACATCTCTTTCCTGTCTCAGCAACCTGATTATTTCCCACTGGGTTACCCCAGGCCCAGGTCGGTGAGCCACGGGCAGCCAGTGACACTTCCAAAGAGGTGAGGCCGAGAAACGCAGCCACGGCTATAAGTTAGGACAGGAAAACTGTGCTAACAATTTAGGCTCTTCAACACACACTCCAGGAACAACAAGAAATAGCCATTGCTTTAAATCGCAATCTTCTGAACATGTACGTGTGGCCCCTTAATGACAAGCTGTACTGTGCTTCTGTGTGTAATACATGTGACCAACCAAATCACTTTTAAAAGACCATTTTTTGATAGAAAATGCAGTAAGCATAATGTTTACAGAGCTTGATTTTATTTTACCTTAAATATAATTGCATTTTTAAAAGCTTCAATAAATTCAATGATTTTTTTTTTCTAAAAAAAAGTCAAAGGTACCAACACATTTTTTATGGTCCAAAAATGATTCCACATATTTTCTTTAGCAAAGTCATTTGTAATAGATTTCTCATGTTTATATTCTTAGATAATCATTTGTATTTTCTCTATAAATGCTGTCAATGAACCTGTCTGGTGAATTTTGGGGAGAAAAGGACGGTATCCATTAGTGGTAGTTACTTAAAAAAAAACAACACCAAAAAACCAAAACACTGAGTTTTAGAAACAAAAAGGGATTTCACACCATCAAGCTCTGCCCGGTTCTTGCAGAAGAGGAAGGGGACTGAGGGGCAGTGAGGCCACTCGCCCTGGTGTCTCCATGCCCTGAGCCCACGGAGCCCGCCCGGACGCCCGGGGCCTGCTAGCTAGGTACAGACGTGTTCACAGGAGACGGCAGGAAAACGCCTCCATGGTGATCTCACTTTAAAGTTTTCCCTTCTTAAAAAACGCTGAAATAACACTCCATGTTTCCCACTTAGGTGAAAAACGAAAGGGGAACTTCCTCCCAGTTTTGTAGATCCGACTTTAACATGGCTGACACTCAGCAAACAGGCCTGCGACCGCAGCCGTGTGGCAGCCTGTTTTCCACGTGTCACGAGAAACTTCACAAGGAATAAACAAGTGTCCCTCTGCGCCTCAGTCCGGCAGTCAGCAAACGAGCACCGGATGTGGACACAGATGCCATGTATGTGACATTATCAGCCTGCTGTCAGCATGCACGAGGGAGGGAAGTGAGGGCTTTGGGCTCTGGGGCCCCAGGCAGCGGCCAGAATGAATAGGTGACATGGGCAGGTGGGGCTGGAGACAGCCAGGCAGCCGAGTAGTAGAGAAATGGCCGACATGGGCCGTGCTTTGCGAAGCTCAGGCAGGAGCCAGCCGTGTCCGCCACAGAGGACAGGTGGGCAGGGGCCATGCCACCTTCAAGCTGCCGTGGGGACAAAAATCAAACAGTGGAGAGTTTAAAAACAATAGCTTTTCAGCCCTGTAGCAATACTTCTTAATTGGTTTTAAATGTGAATGATTCCTGTAATGCACTTGGAATAGAAATATATTTAAACAAATAGCGTGCAGGGCTGTGGCATTCATGACTCTTTGATGTCTGGCCTAAGCCACTGGAGTGGATGTCACAGGAAGTACATATCCAGGCTCGTTAAGCCAAATCACCTCTATTTTACAAAGGAAGCATTTTTGAAATAAGAAGTGTATCCCTTTTTTTCCCTGCATTTTAATTTATATTAATTTTAAATGGTTGCAAGGATCTTTGAATTTAAAAAAACTGAATTGACTCTCTGATTTAGTCACTCTCTAGCCCCTACTTCCTGTTCTGACACCATGAGCTGAAATCCACGTGGTTTACTTCCTACAGCCGGTGACACGCTGGAGGGCTGTCCTGGGCTGTCAGTTGGGTGGTTAGTACCTTTATCAGTCCTTTAAAATCATCCGGCACTTTCCAGGTAAAAATTACTGTGGCTTCTAGGTAAGAAGCAGTTACTTAAGAAAAAAAGAAGAGGGTGTATATGTTGAAATTATTTAAAGTTTTAAGTCTTATCAAGTGCTCTGGGTGAGGTAAAGCTTGTTGAGAGTAAAAATCACCTTCCATCTGAACCAAGGACAAGGCGATGCTGAGGGTCACTCTGGCACCCTCCCTCCTGCCCGTGTCCTTCCTAGGACGTGATGGGACGCACGGCTACTTAGTTTTCAAGTGACCTGAAGAGCCAACATTGTCACAGAATGCTGATGATGGCAGGTAGCTCAGAGAGCCGTCGTTTTTGGACACTGCCCCACAGTCTCTAGTGTGTTAGGCATTTCGGCTACCTTTTCTTCCACCACGGATGTGAAAAAATCTGCAACTGGGGGGCTGAATTTTTATTTTAGAAAAAAGTGGTGAAAAATAAAAAATTCAAGACTCATCAAGATACGCTGAGATATTGCTTAAATCTAAGCTGTCCATCACGGCGCCTCTCGCTGGGGAACCACCACGGGCGTCAGCCTGCCACATACGACCATAAGCTAAGGTCCCACTGCTTCCACGCGAGTAATCAAGGACTGTGATTCAGAAGTAATGCCACATCCTGCATTTTATTCAATTCCATATGACAAAAATAGTAACCTAGACTAAGACATCCATTTAATCAGCAGATGTGTCGAGCCACAGATTTCATCATAAAAATATCGGCTCGTGGGAACAGCCCCCGCTGGCCCAGGGCGGCCTGCCCCACATGGCGCTGCGGTAGAAAAATAGTGTCTCTCTTCACCATGCAGAGAGGGGGACGAGCCCTGAGTGCAGGAGGGGTCAGCGTCACCGTGCCTTCACGAGCCATCTTATTTACAACACTTACATTTCTCTTTTAAGTTATATACACATCGTTTTCAGAGGAGAGCCAACACTACACAGTACCAAACGCTAACAGAAAAAAAAAAATCACACCGAAAGGACACAGATAAATAGGAGAACATTCAAGTGCTGGAACACAGCATCAGGGCGCCACCTCAGTGCTCTCTTCCGGGTGCTGACACGGCCCCAGTCACCCCGTGACGGGAGATGTCACACCGTGGGGACACACTGTGTCTTCACCGCGGAAAGCAGCTGTGGAGATGGTTCAGTGTTCATTTCTGGCAGAAATAAACAGCCACGTCTGCCCTTTTATGAGTCTTCGACACTCTTTCTGTTCGGCGACACGGCGTGATTTGCGGCTGCTGTGGTTGTGTTGGGAAGATTGTCCTATTTTTCTGTTTCGACTGGGAAGACAACACTGCCTGACTCCTTGTTCAGGGGCCCACGCGCCAGCACTGTCACTGGCCACCCACGACGCCTCTGGGACAGTGTTGTTGGGGGAAGTTCCCAGTCAGGCTTCAGCCCGCTCGCCACGCACAAAATGAGGTAGAACACGCAGCCCGCCCGCCGCCCCGCCCGCCACCTGCAGGGCCCTCCTCACCGAGGCGACTCCGCCAAGTCCCCAGCTCAGGACGGTGCTCCGGAGAATCAGGTGACGCTGTGCTTGCTTTTCACCCGACAAGACAATAAATAAATCAAGAACTGAGCAAATTCCCCAGTTGTGACTGATTCAACTGCCAGACCCCGGTGTTGCTCCCAGGACACCGTGACCGACACTCGCAGGAGTCAGCTCCTCGTGGGGTTGCGAGGAGGAGACCGGGTCACAGTGGGTCGTACCTGCGTGCGCTGCCAGTTCCTGCCTCTGCTGCTGTCACCGCCCTAAGAGGAGTGCATCCGAGTCTCCTTAGGGTGGGCAGGTTTTAAACGCGCTTCTTAGGAAAGTTAAATAAATCATCTTAACAAGTGGCAGGCAGGCCCTAGTTTACTGAGGAGCTGACAAGTCCTGGTGGCTTTTCTGTGTAAGCAGCACAGACTGCATACTGCCTGACCTGAAGACAAAACAGGAAACTGTAACAGCTTTCTTCATTTTCCTTAAATCAAAGCACTATTTATAAAATACTTTACATATCTTTAAATTTGCAAATTATAGACAAACCTCCGTAATACAAAATACTAAAAGTGCAATAGTATAAATTAAGAGTTTGCAACCACATTATACAAACATTACCTTTTTATTGTACAGCTTTGATACGTGAAATATTTACTCACAACTGTCTATAATGTTGTGAATTATTTACGGTGACGTTTGTCTGTAACTTGTTCCCAGTCGCTGGGCTACAGACCACACTAGAGAACAACTGTGCACATAGCAGCTACAAACATTTAAATTAAAAAAAAGAAAAAAAAAAGGAAAAAAAAAAAAGGCTTGTTACTGACAGGTACTTGCACACAAAAAGCATGCTGTCTTTCCCAACAGAACTTCACAATTTTGCCTGCATTGAAATAACCCACTTATTTATAGCAAAACAAATCTTGCTTTAAAAAAAAAACAAAAACCACACAGCCAGATGTATTCTGCAGTACAAAAGCTACCTCTAGAGTCGGGGCTGCATTGTCTGTTACCCGCATAATCTGAACATTATAAATACTACAGACAAAGGTGCTGCCACAGGACGCAGCATTGGGAGGACCAGACCACGTCTTCAAGATAAGAGTTCTGAGAACAGAGTTCAAGTTTCTAACTACTGCGAACAAAACCATCGGATGAGTGTCACCGGAATACCGCAGGGGACCTTCGCTCCCTCTCGGGATTATCAGGTTTCAGGAGAAACCAAGTGGATGTGCTCGGAGCCCTTTCGTTCCCAAGGCGGTTTTCCAGGACTTGTGTTTGACTGACATTTATTTCACAGGCTGCAGAATTCTGAAGAACAGTCAAGCTCCCCGTGGACAAGGACCACGCAGTGCTTACGAGATGACCCTGCGGCAGCCACACAGTTAACATATTTTCTGCCATGGGGACCATTTTAAGGAGGCCCCGGGCATGGCAGGTGTGCAGCCTGATGGTCACACGTCACAGTGTGTACGAGGGACAGAGCGGGTGGACGGCCGCAGTGCGCTCGGCTAGTTAATCCCAATCTCCTTGTTGTCCTCAATAAACCTGGTGAACGGCCGGCTGGCCCCCGTTTCGGAGCTGGCTTTGTCCAGGCCCACCATGGGCGGGCTGCTGCCCGAGCGCGCCTTGTCCATCCCGGCGGTCAGGGAACCCAGGGGGGGCATGGCGCTCCCGCCGAGACTTACGGGGAGCTGGGGGACACCTCCGTTCTGGATGACAGAAATCTCATTGTTCTTCATAGCCAGGCCGTTGCTGATCGCGGCGGCGTACTGGTTCCAAAAACTGGGGTCGACGTTCATTGCTCGAGCTGCCAGGTCTTTCTGGAACATCTCTGAGAACTTGAGGGTGTCGCCGCCGAGTAGAGCCATGGGGTTTTCCACAGACAGGCGGCGGCCGCGCCTGGCAGGAGCGTTGTTCCACATGTGCGTGCCCATGTGCACCTGCATGTGAGACACGGAGACACAAGTCACAGGTCAGCAAGCAGCCCTGCAGGCGTGCGCCCCTCCGCACGCTTCCCCGCGCCCTCCGGACACAGTGGGCCTTGCTCACAACGGGGCCTTTCCCAGGCAGGTCCTTCATGTGGGGACAAGAAAACATGGTTAGGTGCACTTTTCTGAGAATCTCGTACACAAATACGCAACGTTTCTTTTTACTAAATACAAAAAGCAAAAACAGCCAACGCATCAAGGAATGTTTCTTCCAGCTGACACACCTGCTGGAATAATTTCCCCAGAGGTGTGAGACCCACGTGCCCCAAGAAGACGCTCAGGTGCCCCTCGCTCCTGCGAGACCCGGCGTCCTTTGCGCTTCTCCCGCCCCCTTCAAGTGCCTGCACTTGGGGCTCCTGGCGTCCCTGTGCCTCCTCTCTGCCGCCTTCTTCCAAACACGGGGAAGCGTCCTGGGCATCTGTGGTTGGCAGAGACCGCAGATGGCCCTTGTCCTCCCAGTAGGTAGAAACCACAGGTGCTGTTCTTTCACGGTCTCTGAAGAGTTACCGAGACCCAGGCAGGCATGGGACACGGATGGAGGGCACACATTTAGCTGGGGTGTGAACACTGGCCTGCACGAGCCATCTGGTATCCTGTCACACGCTCCGCCTCCCACGGGATGCGTGTGGCGTGGCTGTCATCTTAACTGTGGACACCGAGCCACACTGCTGGCCACTGGCCACTCCCCAAACGCCCACCACCCGTCTCCACAGCCACGTGGACAGAACAACAGGACCCGCGTTCCGGCCCCGGTTTACGCTTTTTGTGTCGTGGGCAAGTGTTTAAAGGCCTAGAATCTTGTCCTCTGTCCCAGATTCACAACAGCCCGGGCCCTGGGCCCGCCCACCCATAACAACGTGTGTTGCCCCGGCACAGGCTGCACAGGCCCCTGGCGGGGAGACGGCTGTGTGGGAAGGTGACCCCTCACTGCAGCCAAACGGCATGTGCGCCTCAGCAAGTGTGAGCACAGGCGCACGCGCACACCCACGCACACGCACGCCTGCATGCGTGTGCACACGCCCCACAGGCACTCACACACCGTCTGGCGTGGGCTCCCTGGCATCCCGTCCCCTGGCCTGGACCACGGCAGGAGCCCCGCATGCCTTGCTGCCGGGTGGGGGCAGCCCCGGCAGCGTCCCTGGGACTCAGCGGCGCCAGCCTGTGCCTCACCTTGAGGTTGCCCTTGGTGGTGAACGCTCTCCCGCAGATGGTGCAGCCGAAGGGCTTCTCCCCCGTGTGGGTGCGCTCATGGATCTGCAGGGCGCTGGCCGAGGAGAAGGTCTTCCCGCACGACTGGCAGTTGTGCTGCTTGGGCGTCCGGCGTGGCGGGGGGGCCAGCATGGGCGCGAGGCCGGGGCTCAGCACTGTGTGTGGGCCGGCGGGCACCTGGACGGCGGCCGGCAGGGGCGGGCCCTCGCCCAGAGTGACGGCCTTGCTGTGCCCGTTCACTTCCATTTTGATGGTGGCGGGCGTGGAGCCGGTGACCAGGCTAGGAGCGCTTTGGCTGGGACCTAGAGCAAAGTTGGGGTCACACAACTGAGAAGGCAGCTCTCTCAATTTGTGTGTCAGCAAGTGCTGCTTTAAATTACCCGAAGTGGAGCACCCGCGCCCGCAGGCCGCACACACGAACGGGCGCTCCTTGGTGTGGCTGCGGTAGTGGATTTGCAACGCGCTCCTGCACGCAAAGGGCTTGCCACAGACATGACACACAGTGCTGTCACACTTACCCCGTTCTCTGCTCAGGAACAGCAGGCCGAAGGGGGCCTCCTCCTTGATGGCCGGCCGGCCCGGGTGGGCGGCCGTCAGGTCCAGCGCGCCTCCGTTCTCGGGGGCGGGGGGCGGGCTGTCTGGCCTCTCCGTCTTTAGCGGCAGGTCCTGCGGCTCCTCCTGGTGGCCGAGGCCCGGGGACTTGGAGGGCAGACTCTCGCTGTGGCTGTTCACAGGGGACAGGGCCTGCATGGAGGCCGACGACTCAGACAGGGCCGGGCTGCCCGCGCTCCGGCTCTCCAGGTCGCCCGCGGCGGACGAGGAGTCGTTGCTCAGCCGGTCGCTGTCCCCGGACCCGTTCTCCACGGCCTTCAGGGGCGTCAGCTGCGGGCAGCTCATGGCCGAGTCCATCATCTTCATCTGGTTCTCCAAGGCGGCGATACTGGAGATGACGGAGGGCGGCGAGGGTGGCCCGGAGCCGGGGTAGGGCGGCAGCGGCTTGCACGGGTCGCCGGCCGAGTCCCTCAGCTCCGTGTCGTCCTCCATGGAGTTGTCATCGGCGTCGTCCTCGAAGCTGCTGAGGGCATCGGCGGCCTGCTCGGCGTCCGCAGCGTCACGGAGGCCCTCGGGCAGCGGCGTGTTGGGGATGTGGCCGCCCATGTGCATGCGGATATGCTGCTGCAGCACCACCGCGTTGGTGAACTTCTTCTGGCAGATGGGGCACGAGTGCTGCACGCGCAGGGGCGGCTTGGCGCGGTGCACCCCAAAGTGCGTCTTCAGGTTGCCCTTGGTGGTGAAGGCGCGCCCGCACATCTTGCACTTGAAGGGCCGCTCCCCGGTGTGCGTGCGGTAGTGCATCTTGAGTGCACTCTGGCAGCTGAGCACCCGGTGGCAGATGACGCACTGGTTGGGGTCCGTCATCTTCTTGTCGATGTTCTCCACCAGCTGCTGCAGCTTGGATGTCTCTGACGTCTGCATGGAGTCCAGCAGCCCCCCGAAGGGAAACTTGGCCTTGAACTGGTCAGAGCCGGCCGTGAGGACAGGGCTGCAGAGGCCCGTGGAGGCGCCGCCGTCTGTGAGGGCGGTGGCAGCCGATGTGGACGTGGCAGAGGCCTGTCCACCGGCGGGAATGTCTCCCACCCTAGCATTTGTGCAAGGCAGGCTCACGGGCTCGGTCTTGGTCAAGGAAGACCCGCTGAGCATGGGCTGTGGGGACTCAGCGGTCACTGGGGCACCCACCTCGGAGCTGTTGAGGCCGGGGGACAGAGAGGGGCACTCACTGGAGGCGGGCGACGGCCGCTGTGGGGAGCGGCTCGCGGGCGTGAGGCTGGGAGAGTCGGCGTAGCTGCCGACGCCGGGGATGGTGGGCGGCAGCTGCAGCCCCACTGACGTGGGCACCGTGGGCAGCACGGGCTTGCTGTCCAGCCACGTGGTCACTGGCTTCTCTGGGGGCAGAGACATCCCGTAGGGGATCCCGGAGCAGGTGGGCACGTTGTCCAGGTACTCGGGGACGGGGTAGGGGTTCATCTGGATGTGGGGATACTTGTCCTTGTGCCTCTGGAAATGCACCTTGAGGTTGCCCTTGGTGGAGAAGCGGTTCCCGCAGACGTTGCACTTGAAGGGCCTCTCGCCCGTGTGCGAACGCAGGTGGATCTGCAGGGCGCTGTCGCTCCCGAACACCTTGGCACAGAACCTACACTTGTGCTTGAAGAAGGGGTCCTCGGCGCTGGCCTTGGGCTCGAACACCGACACGTTTGGGGGCTTGCCCTTGCGGTGCTTCATGAGGGCCGACAGGGGGTCCAGCGCGTTGGCGGTGGCCGCGATGCTGACGAGCGGGTTGGGGAAGATTACGCTGCTGGCGGAGGTCTGAGGTAGAAGTGGGTTTGGCAGGCTGGGGGCCGCGCTGGGCAGCCGGCCGGGCCCCAGGCCGGGGGGCGTGGAGGCATTCTGCGGCTGTGCAGAGCCACCGGAGGCACCGGCCACTGAGGCCGGGCTGGTGCTGGAGGACGCTGGCCCGCTGGACTCGGGGACTGAGGGGCCCCCGCTGGGGACGAGTGGGGTGCTGGCTGCGGACGCCGGCTGCGACAGCTGCTGGGGGCCCTCAAAGGCCGGCGGCTGGGCGGCGGGGCCTGGCACCGTGGGGACAGGCGGGGCCCCGGCGGGTAGCTGCAGGGCCGAATGCGTGGCCAGCCCTTGCAGCTGGCTGGAGGCCGGCACCGGGGCGCTCTGGGCCCCCGCAGCCGCCCCAGGGTTCAGCGGCGGCCTCAGCGGCTGCCGGCTCATCATGGCCACCTGGCTGCGGATCTGCTCGATGAGCTGCAGCTGGTGGATCTGCTGCTGCTGCAGGGCCATGAGCTGCTCCAGGATCATGGGGACCGCCACCGCCGCCACCCCGCCGCTGGATGCCACCGTGCCTGCAGCCCGCGCATTCTGCGAGAACTGCGCCACGGCCACCTTGGTGCTCAGCAGGGTCTCCAGTGTCACATTCGTGCTTGGCATGCTGTAGGTGGCCGCTGGCGCCGGCTCGGGGCCCTGAGGTAGAGGCGGCTTGCCCGCGTGCGAGGGGCCTGGGTTCTGGAAGCTCTTGTCTGCAGCGGGCTCCACTTCCATGGGCTCCTCCTCCTTCTCGGGGGCCCTCACCTCACCGCCCTCCCCATTCTCTGGGGGGGCCGCCTCCTCGGCAGCCTCGCTCTCCGTGTGGTCGCTGGGAGAGCTGGCTGGGGAAGGTTCCGGAAACTCTTCCGAGGGCGGGGCCGTCTCATCCTCGTTCACAATCAGCACCAGCGGGTTTTTGGTGCAGCTCTGCTTGTGCTGCAGGAAGTCCGTCCACTTGAAGAACTCCGCACAGCACTTCTCACACACGCTCGTTTCTTCGCTTCCGCTCCTGCTGTCATCCCCACCGTCGCCGTCGGTGGCGCCTTCCCCGGGGACGGCTACGAGAAGCAAGAGATTATATCAGCCAGCGACCGGCGAGACAGCCCGCCCTCCATTTCAAAATTTTGCACATACGTAAAATCAATATTTTTTATTTTGTACAAATTACCCCACTTGAACATTCCTGACGCCCAGCGTGTGTGTTCCATGACTCTTTCTAGCTAGCTAATCATTTTCTTAGCACAATCCATCAAATTATGAGGCTCTATCAATTGTGGATACTGCTTCTTAATGAAATTCCATAGAAGCCATTGATTTCCAATATTTTCATACAATCCGCAGCCACCCTGTCTGTTGGGTACAAAGCCAGCTTTCGATGGGCTCATTAGGATTCCCTCTACCATCCGACTTCCTCATTTCCAGCAAAATTAGAGAAGCCTTTGCCAGTTCACTTAACATTGCTAAACTAATCTGTAACCTTTCAAACTCACGTCAGCACCTGACAGGGGAGCCAGCCACCGCCTCTCCGGGCTCCGGCCTCGGAGATTTATCGTCTTTCTGCCGTGTGAGACATTACAGATTTAATGTAATTCTATAGACCCTTTCGAATCAACGGGCATTTGTTTCACGTAGGAACTGTCGGCTAAATACTTGCATTTGTAACAAAGAAAATATAAGCACTTCTCTCATCTCTGCTCACAAAAACCACCTCCCCGCCCGTAGGTGAATAAATCCATCCCACATCCTTCTGGCCTTTTCTCTGAGACGTGGGTACTGTCCACACTTTAGGATCTGCCACGTGCACGTCACCGGTATGGTCCAGGCCTAAAATGAATTATCTTTAATACCATTAATGGGCTCTTATCACAAGCAATATTTCTTGGAGAAATGAACCAAAATTATATGTTATTGTTATCAGCCAATAGAGCTCGGCGGTTTGGTTAACAAACTAGAAATTATATATTTAAAGTTCATTTATGTTGACATGTTTAACATGAGAATGTTGCAGTCAGACACACTTTTTGTACCTATTTTCATCTATTCTCATAGAAAGACTTAGCAAATTATATGCTTGTGCCGTAGTGGAAAACCCTCTAATTGGTTACACATGTTTAATTACTGTTGTAGGCAGCTACTTCCTGACTCCCTCACCCTCTTGTGCCGAATAACAGCCGTGTTTAATGAACAATTCTAATTCACACCTGATCAAATACATAGCTGTACAGGAACGAGAAATCCACACACGACAACACTTCCAGTTCCTACGTTTTGGGGAGTCAGGGTGAAAGGTGACTTGCAGTAATTAGCGGGCTCTGTGCTGGCCTGGACACTGCTGACTCGGAACTGCTTTTTGTCAACGTACAGATGCAGTGACAGCCACAAATCAGTTCGCACAGAGAGAAATGACAGCTGCAAATCAGCTCTTGGTTACCACTTGACTGTGAAAACAAAACATCCTAAGTTTGTGTCCCCGGAAATAATTTACAGTTAACGCCATCAACAAATGCACTTGCTAAGGAATCTCCATGTTTTTCCTTTTAGGGTTTTGGAAAAAAATTTAATTCAGCACTGATTTCGATAGAGAAATATGATTAAAAAAAATATCCTGCGAAAACATTTAGTTCCTCTACTGGGAAAGAAAATAAAAATATTTTTCAAGGCTAGCCTGCTGCTCTCCATGAGGCCATTACTTCCAGGTAATTTACACATGCCTTTAAAAAATTATTAGCAGTGTTCAATTAGCATTTTCTTAACTGGCTAAACCATGTGAAGGGGAAAAGTTAGAGCCCATAAAGACCTGCTGGACTTTTAAACTCAATTCAGTGAAGATCAGACCGCAAGGAGTCTCATTACCGCATGAAGGAAGGAACGTAACAGCGTCTGTGCCGAGGCCGGGTCTCCTGGAAGCAGAGACAGCTGATTTCTACTGCTGATAGGCACACGAACAAAATAAATTCTCCAAGCGCTTAACTTTGCTCAATGTATGCAAAATCTCATTTTAAACTTGCCGAGGTTATGGAACAGGGCAAAACCAAAACAAAAACTAACATCTTCAGGTAAATGGTTGGTTTTCTAAAGATTGGTAAGAACTAAGGGCTGTCTCAAATTTTAGTCATGTGTTGAAAAAAATATCACACAATGCAAAGAGCCTCTCCTTTTAAATTTCTTTGTCATAGTGGACTGTTTTCCTGCAGACTCACAGATTTACACAAGTCGGAATGGCCACTGGGGGAGAAGTCCGGCTGCACGAAGCGATCGCACCAAACCACGTCCTAACGACTACAACGAAACACGGCACAGAACTGCTTCAAAGTTCCTTCCCAGTATTTTAAAGCTATAATGGAAAGACCTGCCAGAGTCTTCACAAAGATTTTTATCTTAATACTTTTCGAGAAAAACGCCAAGAAATTAAATACTGTTAATTTTGAATATCTTCTCCCTTTAAACTCCTTAGAGGAGATAAAATGTTTAATTTTTGTCTGGTACAGAAAGCATTCACACGGTATGTACATTTCAAGTTTTACACAATGAAGCAAAGTGTATATCTTATTTAAAGATTATTTTCCTTTATGGGGACTATGTGTTAGGGACCATTCACTGAGAAAAAGCTTTAAAAGTATGTTGATTTCTGGATAATTTTTAGTGTGTTGAGTGCTGGAAGAACTCATTGTGAATGACTTACATCTTTACAACGCACACTGTTCAGATTTTCTTTGCAGGAAGCGATCGCATGTGGTAGAAAAGCAGGACTTTTTTCACACTGTGCTTCCCTCCAGTCCATCAGCAACCCAAACAAACCTACTTACTTTACAGATAAACTTTTCCGTCTCCACTGGCTTTTCCTGCTCAGTACTTTTAGGGTTCACCTCTAAATTCACAGAAGTTGGGAAGTGTTCCCACAGGTAATTCCCCTTTCCTCCCACTGGCAGGTTTGCAAAATTAACATTTTTCTTAGTTGTAGAAACTGTGCACAGAACATGGAAGAACTTTCTCCTACACAATAAGTCATTTTGCGTCATGCAATTATGTCTGATAACTACCTAAACATGGCGCAGATATTCTTGTCAACGTAAAATCTCCTTCCACTTACATTCCTTTAAAATTGAAGAAAGCAAAACTGAAGAGAGGAAATTGTATTAAAATGGCATTCTGACCATTTGGACCTGTTAATAGTTCCTTATGAACCTAACAGAACAGACAATTGTGGGATTTTATAAGCAAAGTTTCACAATAAATTTGCTTGCTGCCTAAAACATATTTTTAAAACTATTATACAATGAGTGAGGAGAAAGGCCTTCAATACAGCCCAGATTCCTCATTTAGGACACACAATTCAGGATCGCCACCTGTAATTTTGATTGGTGTTTGTATGCAGTGTCAGTGACACAGCTGCTCAGCCGGTCTCTCCCTTTCCGGCTCTGACTGTCCCACTCGCATAACCTGAGCATGGCCAGCAAGCCATGGGTCTCATCAGATGGCCTTGAATAAAACGCATACAAATACAGAACTCTAATATTTCACTGTTGAAGTGACATTCGGGTGCGGATTTTAAGAGGGTTACTAACAACAAGAGGCCCTGCCGCAGAGCTGACTGGTCAGGGCCTGTTCGCGGGCGAACTGGGAGTGGACACTGCAGAGGCCTGGCTGCTGACGCACTCGGACGGCGAGACGCAGCATGAGGTGTGAGAACCCGCTTGATGGCGCCGCTCGCTCTAGTGATTAAATGTATCGCGTTACCGGGTGTATGTGCTAATCTGGCCGTATTTAGTTATTTTTAAAGATGCTTTCTATAACAAGAAAACCCACGTGGGAAAAAAATCTGAACGCAGCTCACAGTTGTATCACGTAACTTCTTAGGCCCTGTACTCCTGCCATTGTTTTAAGCCAACAGTATGTCAGGCTCAGACATGGGCGACCATCTTTTAATTTAATTTACAGTTTAGACTGGCTGTGCTGTTCTAAGCATAGAAGTCATTGCCTCCATTCGTTAATATGGCTTAAAATCTTTACTCTGAGGTAAAACCATGTCAGTGAGCCACAGACATCAGTACAACAGTACGAGTTTGAGACATGTATTTCCAATGCAATTGGAAATTCTTTCTTTCTTGGGGGAAATTGAAAAACAAACATTGCGAACATTATCACTAGCGTCAAAGATATTTTACCTTTAGCATATTGACTAATCGGCAACGAGGAGGTTTCAAGCTATGAACAGGCCAGGGGTGAGGCAGGACTTTGCAGTGTGCGAGGGTCACATGAGCACACGTGGGCCAAAATGCCAGCCAGCCCACCCAGGACCCCGCTTCACCGGGGGGCTCCCCTTCCTGGGGAGCAGGGCGTGGCCAGTGGCTGCCTTCCCACCATGAGGAAGCAGCTGCTTGGGCAGGGACTGCTCTGTGAGGTCAGCACACGCCAGCCTATGGCCTTGAGTGGGCACCGGGCTAGATGCTGAAGCTGTCCCCTGGGCAGTCAGGAGTGGGGAGAAGACGCAGGCTGAACACATCTGCCTCGGCATGACAGGGGCCTGTGAGGACTGCAGCCGTCCCCACACGGGCTCCTCAGACCTAAGATGTTTCAGGTTCCTGTCTCTACCCACCAAACCCCCGTGATTAGGTCCTATGTTCTTGGTTCTTCAGGAGAGGGGAGAGTGGGTCCCCCCACGCCTTTCAGAGGAAGTCCCTGACAAAGGGATCGCTTCAAAGACAGTCTTGAAAACACATGGAGTTTTTTCTTCTCATTAATAAAACACACAGAGAATGTTTAACAAAAATGGTCCTGTTTTTTGGATCAACTCTTTCGGTGTGAAAGGAGCCTCCTCTACCCACCCCCTCCAAAACAAAACAAAACAAAACAAAACACACACACATACACACACACACACACAAAACCCTGAAACTGTTTTACCATCTCTCAGCTTTAATTCCTGGTGTGTTACATAATATACATGGATCATGTTTTCACTGTCTGCAGAAGTATATAATGGGCTCCTAAAGAATGTGGCAGAACCTTTATCCCATGACGATCTTTCTGAAGGCACGAGTTTTGAAAAGCACTGTTACAATATACACGAGAACACTGGAGACAGAAAGCTTTCTTTACAAATTTCAAACTCCAGCTCTTAGCAAAGCCTTTCTGTTTTTTCTTTTCAGGACTCCAGTGCCTAGTCAATAAGCTGCCCAATTACAAAGAAGTAGGAAACAGGCGTTTGATAATTTTGTTTCTGGGCCTCAAAAGCTCACCTGTACTGTGCTACACTTCCGCCACATATTTTAAATTCCGTAACATTAACAAAAGATGCAGCAAACTTGTTCAGCATGGAAATGGGATGTTAACTTCTCCACTTTAATTAGTAACCGAAAATGCCACGTGGGTCTTTAGGAAAGAAAACATACTTTCTCCTTTGCCTTCGCCATCCCTTAAAAATCTAGGAAGCATTTTTCAAGTTTTCCTAAATTGTTCGGAGACACTTATTTTCTTGCAAATTAATTCTTTTTAACTCCTTATGATAGCTTTGAATCCCATAAAGAAAGATGAATTATCACATACTGAGCCCAAGCTGTGAAACAGGGGGAGACAAATAGAGACCCCTACTGTGTTTAACAATGTAGAAGAAATTCCAGACGCCATAGAAAATTCTGCCCCTTTTCCTAGACCTCCATGCGGGCGAGCCTGGCGCCGAACAGTGGAGGGCACTCTTGTTATGCGGAACGCCAGCGCTGACCCGCACACCAGCTTTCGTCGACTCGGTGGCCCACATCTCAAATTTGTTAAGTAACGACCACCTGTGGCACAGCCACCAAATGTCTTCTGTTTGAAACATTTGCAGTTTTTAATCTGTGTGGTGAAACACCACATACTGCTTCCTTTATGGACCCACGCAGAGGGAGCGCAGACACACTCCCACTTGTTGGAACTATCTGCCTGGATGCTGTATCGCATAATAAGATGTTTGTTACACTTCCAGGCTGCAAAATAGTGCTTTCGCCGAGACGGTGTGCTGTAGTCACACATACGATGGACACATACACATCACCACCTACGCCTGACAACAGCGCATGAACCTGAAATATGTCAGCCGACGAGAAGAATTTCAATCAAGATTCCATGACGGGTGAAAACAAGGTTTGTGCAGGTCACTCTGGGTTCAGATTCAGGAGGTTTAAACTCAGGCTTGGCATGAAATGTGCTAGTTCATGACATGCCTGCTCAGAAATGCCTACACTGCCACCCTAGCCCCGGCCATTTTTCAAATCCACTCACATAAAAACACACAAATACGCGAAAGCACTCAGACATGCAGACACCTGGGTCTAAATGGCCCTGAGAAGCATGGAGGGACACACTGTGTCCAGGAACGGGGCTCCGATAGACTGTGACCATCAGACTGCCTGTGCTTGGGGTTAGGGTATTAAATCACTTCCATTCTGTCATCACTTCCCAGCACTGCTCCATTTCCATGTGCAGAGTTTGCACACGTGCAAAACACCATCCTGGAAAAGCCACTGACTGCCCCGGGCCACCGAAGCCCAAGGCTCTGCACGGACAGTCGGACAGTCATACGAGAGAACTGTCCCACTCTCCACAAGGCCCAGGCATGCCGAGGAACCCAGACTGAGGGCCCCGGTGCCTGCAGGGTTAATTAAACAGTTCAAGATGTAACAGCCACACAAAAGAAACCCGTTCTCGGGTCCTTCTCTGAGAACTATAAACACTTGTGCCTATGAGATGGGCATCTGATAAGCCGGGCGGCTCGGAGCAGCTCGCGGGCCTCTAGTTAACGCTCAGACCCAGTGTTAACACTTAATAGAACAGTGCTGAGTCCTGTTGCCAAGGTCAACAGCACAGATGCACTAATTGTATTATGAGCTTGACATCTAGTGGCCACCCCTGGCAGGGCAGAGCAGGCAAAGGTTAAATCAGCAAGGCTTGTCGAAGTACTTCTGACGCCCCACCTTCAGGGAGAGCCGGTCGGAAGCCGCCAGCACCCTGCAGCCCCACCTTCCCCAGATCTCAGGCCATAAGAGGCTGGCGGCCGCGCTGGCCGCAGGGAGTAGGGACCCTAGGTGTCAAGCAGAATCAGTCTGGGGCGGGGCGATGGGACAAGACAGGCCCACTGAGGACCAGGGTTAGACACCACACTGATATCATCAGGTCTCTGTGGTGGACAATGGGCCAGCCTGGAGGACTCTTCCCTTTAAGTAACAACAAATCAACCCCAGTGTCTAACACAAGTAGAGCCCATTACGTCATATTATTATTATTTCAGCTAATATTTACACTTTCTGTAACAGGAGTTGCTTTATTTGATTGCTTGGAAATCACCCCGTTAACTGCATTTGAAATCATAAAGGCTTTAAAATTATAAGAGAAAAACCTAAGGACAGGGATTTTTTTTAATATGAAAGTTTATTTGAGCTGGTATTAAAACACTTGATTTTCACATCGATTTTGCTTACATCTTACATGAAATGTGTAGCGACGTAAACGTCTGCTGTAATTGCAAGCCTGTCCCCCCAGTAGCAGGACTGGACCTCGGCTTCATGACACTAAGATACTTTGGCCTTATTCTAGCAGCTAGTCCAGGAAACATGTAGGGAAACAAAACTGACAAAAGAACGGAGCCTCTTCCTGCTGTAACAGTATTCAAAAATTATCCTTCTTGAAACTACTTTGCAGCATTAGAGACAGTGCATAACCTCATTAGCAGTTAAGGAGATTTTAATTTTACTTGAAGAAAAGCCTGTGCCAATACGTAGATTTAAGAATGCTAAATTCCAACTGACTGTTCAGGGCACAGAAGGGAAGCCGTGGTTTCCGATCTGCTGCATCCCCCCCAAAAGAGACTGCTCTGAGAGCTACCTTGGGGCGAACGGTAAAGCCTAAGAGATTACAGTTGGAAATGAAATCTGACCGGCTTTGGCCTGCTGTTGCCATCATCTTGTGTACAAAAAATAATCAGCTTGCTAAGTAATTCCTGCTGTTGGTCCATACCTTCTTCCTTTCCTGGCTCCGACCGAGCAGATCTGAAAATACTGGATCATCATATGTTGTAGACATTTAAAATGTACATAAAAATCCCCACTGTTACATAATCAGCTCTTCCTCTGTGAGGTGGGCGGGAACTGGCATGCTTCCTGTTAACCACCAAATTATGCATTTTTAAATAGGTAAAGTTTCTTTTTTACGTTATTTTAAAAATAAATGTTTGCCAATTCTTCCTTTCCCTTTTCCCCATTACTTACTTACTTTTCACCTTTCACGTCTCAGAGAAAACAATCTGCCTACGGATGCTAGAAAGCAGCTTCAGTGTCGTTTCCTTTTCGAATGCTGAATTGTAAATGTGTGTCGTGTGCGGAGGTGGGGGTGGGGGTAGGGGGACTCAGGCAAACCATGCATATACAGATAAAAGAGAAAAGATCTCTGCACTCAGTGCTGGTGGCCTTCCCTTAATTTAAACACAGCCTGTGAATACCACTGGTAAATTCTGGAATCACATGCTCGCCACATTGAAAAGGATTTTTTAAGATAGCCATGTGACTGAAAATAAAAACACACTTTGAAGCAATTAGTGCTAACAAACAAAATACGCGATGGCAAATTGTTTTAAATTATCATATCCTTTTGTTCTTCCTTAAACACGTATTTTCTTTCCAACAACAATAAAATGCGTCTTTATTAAGTTGTATTTTCTATGATAAAGGATAGCAACATTACACCTTTTAAAGTTCTTAGTAGGAGTGTAAGTGCTGTTGTCATTAGAAGTTTTAATCACTCTTTCTCAGAACAAAAATAGTCAGCTGGCTCAAAGGGTTTCATTGTTGGTGGCATACATTTAACTGAATCCTAAATCGGCAACACACTGATTTCTAAATTTTCAGAGACAGGAATGAAATAATTTGCAATTTAAAAAGATGATTCTTATTGGGAATGTTAAGTCTCAGTCATCCTTAAATTTTACAACAGGATAACTTTGGAACCCTACAAAAATCATTGTTACTTTTTCTGATTCTAAATACATTATCATATTTCATTTCTGCAATGGTAAGTTTCGGATAGCACTCAAGCTATTTTTGGATAGGTATCTTTTTTTTTTCATTGCTTGCCTAAAAACCAAAGCCTAAAAAAAGTCCTATTTCTTTTTTAAGAAATAAAGCCTTTTTACTGTAAATGAATGTGGCTGTGGACCTCTGTCCCCCATATTAAACTACATATTTTGCATATAATATTTGTTTTATCCATAGCCTTCAATTTTGCTGCAGTCATCTACTGCTTTAATTAATATGTCACACCCAAAGTGATACAAAGGAATTATTTACTTCATTACTAAAACGATGTGAACTAACTTAGCTCACTTGTAACTCACACATGGTCTGTTTATTTGCATTGCTTTTAACAAAGTAAAAATTTTGAGGCGATCTGATTCATGCTGGAGTAATTTAGTTTTCACAACCATTTATCTTTAAAAAAACTGTTTTAGCTATCTTACTAATGATGACCTATACAAGAGGAATATACACACGAGCATTCCTTGAGTGAGCAGAGAACAGAGTATCTTTTATGCTCTGTGAACAGCCAGCTTCAGCATAATTAGATCAGAAAGAACTATTTTTAAATAGTTTGCCTAAACTATCCTTAAAACAGTCGAGGAAACACTATTGGACGAAGGCTCGCGGCAGACAGGCTGCTGTTGGCCTGTTGCAGTCTGATCAGGGGCTGCAGCACAACTCCTAGGGACTGAAAAGCACAGGCTTGGCGAAAACTTTAACCCCACGGTGGGGAGAAAACCTGAGTGTTTCACCTCTAAATAAATTCAGTACCAACGAAGGGAATTCAAAAGAGAACTTGTAAATAATTTATTCCATCCTAGGTTTTCAGATATAGGCTATATAGCCCTAACGTGTTTACACTATTGAGTTCAGCAAGCTCACATTTCTGAAGTGAAATTAAAAATGAATAGCAGTGCCTCAACTTGTTAATTGTTAAATACCAGGGGTTTTACTCTATTAATTAAAATATGCTTTAATAAAAGGAGACATTGCACATTTTGATAAGGACCCTACAAAGCTGAGAAGTATTTACATTGTTGCATTTGGGCCGGCTGTGAAAGCCGATTTTAAGCTATTCAGGAGCCACAATAATAAAGCTTTAAAATTCCTCACTGGGATGCAATGTAGTTCTTTTGAAGGAAAGACTGTCTTTCTCATTCGGCAGAAATAAATCCATTCATTTGATCATGTAGTCATTGAGGGCAATACAAAACAAACCAAGTGTGAGAGATTCTATGTGATGAAGTAAACAAAACAAAAAAACCCATTTCCATGACAAAAAGATTCTTTGTCCTTAATCCACCCACCATATGCAAGCGTTTCTTTTTAGCATATCTCCGGTTCCAATCTTGGGTGACAGGGCTGCACAGACGCGACCGCCTCACCTCCACAGCGACAAAAAGGCCCGGCCGAGCTCACGCGCTTTAGTTAATGAATTCCCGGCCGCGTCCTAAGCATGTCCCCGTCTCCCTCGCGACGTGGCGGGTACCCGCTTTGTCAAACTTCACAACACCGCGCGACACTCCTCCGTGCCTGCCGGTTGTTTTTTTTTTGCATACAGCCTAATTCTCACGGTAAAAAAAGATGCGTATCTGCCTCCGCACAACTTAGACTCCGTTCATCCAAAAGTTGGCCGTCGTGCGTTATTAAGGAAAGGGCCATCGGCTGTCCCGGCTGCGGGGCGGCGGCGTCCCGGGGCCGCGTCCTGGGGACACCACGGGCCCCGCCGCCCCGCGCGCGCTCGGGCCCCGAACTTCCCGGGAGGAGGCCGGTCCGCCGGCGCCGAGCCCTCGCTCGCGCGGCTCCTACCTTCGCTCGGGGCCGCGGAGAAGTCCCCGAGGCCCGCGGGCCGGAGAGGCGCCCGCGGCGCCGCCGAAACAGGAGCGGGCCGAGCCGACTCAGAGCCCCGAGGACGCGCCGGGGCCGCCGCGCGAGGACCCCCCCCC